GAAATATCAGCTTAACATTTGGGTTTCTTTTGTGCTTCATGGAAAATGAGTGTAAATGATAGAGCTGCTGCTACACATCCTAGGGAATCAAAGGGGTCATGGTCACTTGCCCTGGAGAAGACACTACCTTCTTACCTCCCTGGCTGAAATGATGACTGTTGGCTCTGATGGATAGAACCATGACCTTAGGGTTTGGATGCTTCTCTTCACAAGCTGGAAGTCTCCCATATTCTGCATCTTGGCGGGGGGGGTGTTCTGATTGCATTTGTGCTGTTTTCTTAATACCATACCGATTCCTTCTTCAGCTTCGCTCTTATCCTTATGTCCTTATCCTTACTTGCCCTGTGTGCCGTAGGCGGGCCTTACCTCTCCCCAAAGCATGAGATGGAAAAAGGAAGAACAGTGACACACTTGCAGGAATGTGTCGCTGCCTTCCTTTCTGCATTTTCCCCATCACCCTGACAGATTGCATAGCTTGAATCCATATGCTTCCCTGTTCACAACAAAAAGTGTTCTTGGTGGAGACCTAAGGCTTTCTATATCACTAAGGGTCATGATCCTGCAAAGAAAAAAATTGTTTCTGAGCAGAGCCTTGACTCGCATGGTTTGAACTCAGTACTTGCTAGGTTTCCTGGCATGCATCTAGCAGATTATGCACAAGAGGATCTCCGTTGTCCTTTAAACCCCTGCCCTGTTTCTTGTGCCTCAGTTTACACTTCTGCAGATGCACAGCACAGACTGTTAAATTGGACAAAAAAGATTCACAGTTAAACCTCAGAGCTGTGTTGTGCAAAACCATGGGCGTAGGTGGGTAACAACAGCTGCCAGTCAGCCTCTGAGGGAAGAGCACCATATGATTTCTCAGTGAACAAAACATTTAATACAAACACAACACTTTCCAAATATTCTTGAGACTTTTCCTGAACAACTTTCTTTAAACAAAACTAATGGGCAATAAAGTCTGTTTGCTGATCGTTATGCAGATCTTCCCACTTCCACTTTGCTATGAGGTTTGACTAAAATATTTATACTTTTTTGCTTTGGTACACATCCTACTCCGATCCTACAGGAAGGATTTCTTAGCCTGAGGAGAGAAATGCCAAAATGCGTGTGTGGTGCTTGATTACTTGGTTCACCAGCATTGGCTTCCTGGGTTTTGAGCATAACTATGAAGTCCTCTATGGAGCGTGCAGAGCCTTTCCGGTAGGTCAAAGCTCCTCACAGGTCTAGTGAATTATTAGTAAACCTCCAGTTTGATGTATTTGGAAGGCCACATCTGAGAGGGTTAGGGTTAGGGTTAGGGTTTTGGATACAGAGCTCCCACCTACCACCCTCCTGGCTTCAACAGCACTTTCATCTTCCATAGGTACATACCACCCCGCCCCAGATCCATCCTGCACCACTGAACACAAAATGGGAAGTTGTAAATGACCGTCCTAGAAATGCTGCAACTGCACTTTGTAATGTCATCCTCCACGTAATACCTTTTCTAGGGTTTTAGCCTAGTCCTCTCCTGTCCTTAATGTTGTTGTGCATTAGCTTATCCCATTTGCCTTGTCACAGGTTTTGGTGGAATTCAGGGGCAGCCCTGATGATGCATTTGGGTTCACATCTTCACCCTTTTTCACGGTCATCCATTCATATCACAGGCTGGACAGGAAAATAAATGGTCTTATATTCAGTTTACCTTTGAGAATTATCTGCTTCTTGGTTTTATCAAAAGAAAAAATAGTATTATCCTTCTCTTGTTTTCATCCAAGAAAAATAATAATTTCTGTAGATACAGTAAATGATGAGTTATATTTATTGTATGTGTCATTTGGGAGTACTAGGGTTCTGAAAATTGGTTGTATAAGTCTAGCTTCAGTTTCTTGAAATACTGCAGAATGAGTATCCATTATCTTTAAATAAACTTTAAGGGTTTTCTTGATGAGTAATTTGCTCCATAAGATTTTCTTTTTTAAACTCCCATGAAATATATTTATAGCGCAGTGTTTAAATTCCTGATATTTATAGGACACTTACAGTGGACATTAACCATCTTCAGCATCCCGTGTACCACTTTATTTTCAGTGACATTGCAGAGAAAATCGTGGTTGTTTTCTAGGAAAATTATATTATAGTTATAATCTAAAGGGTTTGGGTTTTTTTTGTAATAGTTTAAACGTTTGCTGAGTTGATGAGTAACAGTGAAATCTTTGGGTAGTTGGGAAGTAATCAGACTTCCCTTTTACTTGTGAGTTTGGGAGTTTAAGTTTGATCTGTATTTCAGAAATCATTCCCTTACGTATTTTTGTTTAAAATTGGAATTTGATCCAACCAAATGTGAAACTGGCAGCACGATTAATTACATGAAAAATGTATACGCTAAAGGTCTTGCAGGATCTTTGTTTAACATTCTGATCACATTCAGGGTGGTTTCTTCATCACTGTATCGACTATTTAATAATTGTTTTTATAACGCCAGCATCTCTTGTAGAGAGGGTTATTTAACAGAAATGAAAATCTTTAGGAACCTAGATGCAGTAATCACTCACTTCTCTGCTCAGAAGCTGGCAGTGTGTTTCCAGTTTAACGTCCTCTTTTAAACCTAGCTTCTGCTGCTGCTTGATGCTTCCTGTAGTACCCACCCGCGATTTGCCTGCTTGTCTCTTTAAGCTGGATGAGCAACTGCTATTTTATCAGTTGCGCTCCCATACCCTAAAGCAATAAGGTTTGTGCTGTTCTGTTATTAGAGTGATAATAGGTAGCTAAAGGGTAGGGAGTCCCTTTAGAAAAACTAAAAAGGAAACGCTCAGCTTGACTTTTTAGTCCAGGTTCTTCCCCCAGAAAAAGCATTTTCATCAAAATGCCTTTTCTTCCCCCCCCCCCCCCCATTTTATTTTTACTGAAAGGAGATGATGCCTGTGATTAGTGGTGGAAAATTTCCTGACTGTTGGAACCATTCAGTGATCCAGTTCTTTGATAGGTTACAAAAAAATATCTTATTAATCCTTTGAACTGTGTAAGTCATGAGTAGGGCTTGGGAAGGTGGTGTGATACCAATGTGCAGGAGTTTAATGAAAATAAAATAACCTAAAGTGTATAGCTGTACCAAATTACCCCATAGAAACTAAATCTGTATGCTCCACTATAATTTCATTTTCTTATCTCTTTACATTCCCTTCCTCTTGCTCCTGGCTCTCACCTTTGATGTCATTTATATCATGGACTTTGTTCATCACAGGCACAGCTAAATACGTACCTGTCTGCCTTTTTGCTGGGGTGGGAACAGGCTCTTCTGAGAGAGGCTTAAATGTCTCCTGGTCTGTCACTGAATGGTGTGTGCAAGAAAAGGGTGTGAAATGCCTTTCTATTTTTTTGCTTATTCCTCTTTGCAACTACTGAGCACGGTTCTGATCTGTGCCTTTTGAAGCAAAACACTGGGAGGTTTAAGGCAACCTTCTGTGACCAGCAAACTGCACACCTTGAAGATAGAGACTCAATGAAAATGCAAAGCCCTGCGTGCTTAGAGGGACCATTTTATCTTCTCTGACACTGTAATGGAGTCTATAATTGCCAGTGTAACCATTAAGGAAAGAGCCCGGGTGTCACTGTGGGGTACTCAATTTAAAAAAAAAAAAAAAATTAATAAATAAAAAACCCCAGACCCTTATAGGAGCTCTGAATTACTGTAAGTCTAATATGATATCTCCGTAGATACTGCATTAAAAAAAGTGTCTTCAGAACATGGTGAAGCTCTGCAAGAGCCTCCAAAAATGTCTTTCTTTTTGTCTTTTTCTTTCCCCCTTTTGATTTAGAAAAAAAATTAGGCTTAGGGGTTCAGTCTGTAAGGGTATAAGGTTTATACCCTCACAATACAAATGTGTAGGCTTGGTTCCATACTTCATCACAAGATCCATGGCTTTGGAAATTGTTAAGGCAAGGAAGATTTGGAGACCTGTCTTGATTACCACCAGGACCCCTCAAAAAAGACGTGGATGGAAAGATCTTCCTCTGCTGTAAATAAGGAGAAGAGATTGTGTGGAGATTTGTCCCATACCACAAGTTCAAAGCCACAAATGGGAAAATTTGCTGTTTAGATCTCAAACACTGAAGCAAATAGGGCATGAACTAGCCAGCTGTCTTGTATGCAGCAGACTTAAGCATAGGACAAAGAGTTTGTAACTGAATGAGCAACATGTAAAATGAGACGGAATTCTGCTCAAGTCTAGGACAGCAAACTCCCTTAATACCACCTTGCTGGTTTTCTTTAGGTCTTACGCATAGGAGAGAAAGAAGAAATGGGGCTGTCCAGCTGTTTTCCTGATATTTGGATCCAAGTAAATGTGCTGGGAAGGGGAACAAGGATACAGTGGTGCTAGATCTAGGGTGTATTTTAAGGGCTATGTACATATGTAATGATAATGTATTTAATTGTTCTTTAATGTGACATGCCCATTTTCACTATCTTTTTCTTTTGCAATTTGTTTCCCTCAAACAGATTGCAAACCTTCAAAATAGATTCAGACAAGAAGATTGGATCAGGAATCTCTTATTTGGAAAATAGTTATTGCCTAAAACCAAGCATAAGAAGATTTAACCTTAACATGATATTCTTTTCAGTCATGACATGGTTATGTATCTGTCTAGTATCTTGCTTTTGCTGTAGTACTGAAAAAAAGGAACTTTTTCTACTAGAAAATTGGCGCACTGCTACGTTTTGGCTATGTTGGATCATGCAGTGCTGGCATTTGTAGTAGTGATAATGTTATGCCCTAAAAAATGAGTAATTGAATTCTTGAGAACTTTATTCTGATGAAATCCTTAAATCACATTCCATCATCTGCTTCTCACATTCTTTTGTATATGATCATGTGGACATCAAATCCACAAGTGACGTATTTGTGTATAAAGCTGTATGTGTCTGCACTCATAAAAGTACAGGCAGTATAAAGGTCTTTAAAATTTTATAACTTCTTTAAACAGAAGCTAAGTTTTCCTCCCTTTGTGTCTTTCAGGGAGACTGCCACAGAGTTATCTGGAACATTACCAAGGTAAGCAAGTTGCTCTAAACTACATCCGTGTATCAACGTCTGAAAGGGGCTGAAAGAAGCAAGACTTTTTGAGCCAGAACATGATCCTTTTTCTAAGGAAAACTCCTAGGATACTGAGAACTGGGGTGCAGAGAGGAGAATATACACTGCATGACATAGACAAATAGACTGGGAAATACTGGCACGACCAAAACGACACAGCTTAGAGCAATGTGTTGGAAGTTGCTTTGAGACTTAGCACAGTTGTGCACCTGATGAGAAAAATCCCAGATGTGGCTTTCTTCCAGCTGTGCAATTATACCCACTTCAGGTGGTTTGGCTTTTGCTTGAAATTTCACCTGAGGGATGAAGGGAGACGAACTTGGATGTAGGAGGAAAAAACACTGTGATCTTAAGGCTTTTCAGTTGGAAAGCAGGAAAGCAGCTTAGACCGACTTCTATGCCGAGAAAGCTTTTCATTAAATAATAGAACTAGACACGACTTCTAGGCTGCAGTACAGGTTTCTGAAGAGACCTGCCTATGTTTTGTCAGAGGATGCAATAAATTGCTGCAATGATGCAGACAAAGGTGAAGTGAAGCAAAAAAACCTGATATAGTAACCTGATACTTAGCAGAGATGCTTGATAAGTAAAGAAAATGGTGCTCTCAGTCCTCTTGCATCTTCTGCCACCAGTTTTTGTTCTCTGAGGTTCAGGGGATTTTAATGGGGTCATCGGTTTGGGGTGTGTTGCTATGCTATGATTAATATCAGTGTTGTAGATCATACAATATATAATGTAAAAAGAATATTTCAGCAGGAAAGTTCTTTAAGCATGATACTTTATGCAAGTTAGAGAGAAGGACTTGGGGGTGTTGGTCGATGAGAAAATGAACATGAGCCAGCTTCAGTGTGCGCTTGCAGCCCAGAAAGCAACCGTATCCTGGGCTGCATCAAAAGGAGCGTGACCAGCAGGTCGAAGGAGGTGATCCTGCCCCTCTACTCTGCTCTTGTGAGACCTCACTTGGAGTATTGTGTGCAGTTCTGGTGTCCTCAACGTAAGAAGGACATGGATCTGTCGGAACAAGTCCAGAGGAGGCCACGAGGATGATCAGGGGACTGCAGCACCTCCCGTATGAAGATAGTCTGAGAAAGTTGGGGCTGTTCATCCTGGAGAAGAGAAGGCTGCATGGAGACCTCAGAGCAGTCTTCCAGTATCTGAAGGGGGGCTATAAGGATGCTGGGAAGGGACTCTTTATTAGGGACTGTAGTGATAGGACAAGGGGTAACGGGTTAAAACTCAAACAGGGGAAGTATAGATTGGATATAAGGAGGAAATTCTTTCCTGTTAGGGTGCTGAGGCACTGGAATGGGTTGCCCAAGGAAGTTGTGAATGCTCCATCCCTGGCGGTGTTCAAGGCCAGATTGGACAGATCCTTGGATGACATGGTTTATTGAGAGGTGGCTTTGGGGTTGGAACTGGATGATCTTAAGGTCCTTTCCAACCCTAACTACTCTTTGATTCTATGATTATTTCTTTTCTAAGGCAGAAAATAACTGTCTGCCTGTCTTTATGGTGGATGTAGTATATCAGTTGGCTAGTCTGTATTGTAAGCTATAAAAATGTAGATTTTCGTAGTATGTGATGGTTTTCCACCTGTACGTGATGATTTTTCCCCCCTCTGTAATGTATCAGCTTGTTCTGCGAGTATAAAGTTGTGTGATTTATATCAGGTGTTCATTTGTTAGATTCCTTTCTTTTTATGTCTTACCATCACTTGATATTCTTAGCTGTGCAAGCAAATATGCTGGTGAAATTTTGCCAAGCATTTTCAGTGCTGACCAATAACCAGGTCTGCCTGATGCACAGATGATTTTACTCATCTTTATTGCAAAAAAAATTACAATTCCTCATAGAAACAAAAATAAAGAAAGAAAACAGGGATTCAACAGAGCATCTGTCTCCTTGCTTAGGGATGTCAACAACAATGCCTAGCTATACCTTTTAATATGTTTAGTGCTAGAATATTTCTAGTTAGGCCGCATGCCCCAATTGGTTAGGTATTATATGACTAATATGCTGGAAACATGAAGTCCTTGTACTGCAGAAATGAATTGCACTTTAAATTAAAGTTAAAATAAGAGCTATGGGTGCTTGAATAAACATTGCGTTTCATACTTGCCATTAATGATTGCGTAAATGTGGGGTTTGAGTTATTACCACAAGGCTTTAATTTCAGCCATGGCAAGATGTCACCAGTAAAAATCAGATTGTACAAGCAATGTGCACAAGGCATTGCAATTGTGTTATAAATATTAAAACCTATAATCTTGTCTTGATTTAAACCAAATGTTTACAGCTGTGCACAGGTTGGCTACTCCTCCAGCCTTCATGGGGATTCACCTGTTCCTGTATTTCTCTAAACAAGCTGTTCCTTGGAGTTTTTAATCTTATGTTGTAATGTATTAATCTAATTTTTTTTTTGTTCTTCTTTTAAACTTCAAGTGAACCATTTTTCTATTATTAATTCATAGCAGCAAAACAGTCTAATTTCCCCTCCTACACCACATCTTCTTCCACCTGCAGCTATTTCATAGCATATAAAATTTTAGGTGTTGCACCTTGAAATGATGAAACTAATAACCACTTTCCCACAGTCACTGTGCTTGTGGTATTTTGTCTGATGGGGCTGAAAATGCCTTCTGTAATGTTAGAAATGTAACTCTCATTTGTGCAAGCAAACCTGATGTCTTTTCTCAGGGCATTAATGACTCATAGAACCACAGAAGGGTTTGCATTGGAAGAGACATTAAAGCTCATCCAATTCCAACCTACTGCCATGGGAAGGGACACCTTCCAGTAGAGCAGGCTGCTCCAAGCCCCTGTGTCCAACCTGGCCTTGAACACTGCCAGGGATGGGGCAGCCACAGCTTCTCTGGGCACCCTGTGCCAGCACCTCAGCACCCTCATGGTGAAGAAATTCCTCCTTATATCCAACCAAAATCCCCCCTGTTTAAGCTTGTACCCATTACCCCTTGTCCTCTCTCTACAGTCCCTGATGAAGAGTCCCTTTCTGCCATCCTTGTAGGCACCCTTCAGATACTGGAAGCTGCTCTGAGATCTCCACACAGCTTCTCTTCTCCAGGCTGAGCAGCTCCAATTTTTGTTAGCCTGTAGATTCATGGATATATTTGCGGCAAGGATTGAGCAAATACTTTTCAAGCATTAGTGAAAGTGGTGAAAGTGTTTTCACTGCAAGCGATGTAAGTGTGAGCAGATGTCTCTGTATTTGGAATGTGTTGTCCGACTGTCAGGAAGGATTAGACACTGGTGGCACTAATTTTTTGTTGTAATTAAAGCCAAAACCAAAGAACTGATGAAAAAAAAAAAAATCCAAATTTTACATAGTTGACTTAAAGAAGTGAAGTTCAGAATTTTTCCTAGAAAGCCTTTGTAAATATTCTGAAGTTACAGAAGAGAGTATTTTTTTGCATTCTCTTGTCTCTTATAGTAACCAAGTGAGGTTACATATGTGTGTTTTTTAAAAAACAAACATAACAGTGTCTTGTAAAATGGTGATTTTTTTAATGTAGTCATTTTCCATTAAATACTGCTGATTGTTCTCTAGTTATTATATTTAAGAGGAAGAAGAAATTACCTTCTTGGCAATGAAGAATATGTATCATTGATAGGCGAAAGTAGAAAACTGTGTTGGTGGGCATCATTTAGAAGGAAAGTTGCTAGATTAACTTTGCCTGTAGAAAGACATGCACAATTATATTGAGTGGGTTTTAATTTACCAGTTATTTCTGATGATTTTGGGAAGCTCAGGCTAGAGAATGAATTGAAAATTTCAACTCAATGTGATAAGGAAGCTTTACAATTTGTGTATTAAATGACATAATTATATCCATGAATGTATATTGTTTTATTCGAAGAAAGGTTTTCTGTATGCAACAGCACATCAAAGAACAGATCTTCACAAGGAAAACTTTATAATAATATTAAGTTGTTCATTGCATGACCTATTTAGAGTACTCAGATACTTCTTGTTGTAGACTACATAATTAAATTTTAAATGGAACATGATAAAGAAATTATACTGGTGATCTCCAGAGATTTGAATACCCTATTTGGATCTTTACAAGAGTGTAGCAAAGGCATACTTTAAAATTTAATAAAGGTCTGGCCTATTTTTTTTCCCCTTTTAGATGTTCTGTAGCTGCTATGGCAGTCCTATTTGATACTGTATTTGCTTTCAGCACTTCATAGATGGTACCTGCATTACAAACCAAACTAAAACTATTAGAAGAAACACAGCTCAAGAAACCCACTATTTAAACATATTGCAAAACAAAGAGTGAAGAGAATCGCCTAAAATCTTGCAGTGACCAAGCTTGTCACCACCCTTTTGCAGGCCAGCATCTGAGCTAACAGTCAAGTCGTAAATGAGCAAGGTGGAGTGCTTGAGAACAGTGCAAAGCCCTATGGGCATGAGGGAGATGATGTCTGGAGCTTAAATAAGAAAATACTCAGCTTCAGTATCAAAGGAGTGATTCCAGTCTCTAGTCACTTCTGTTTGCTTCTGTGAAAGTTACTTCATATTTAAAGAAAAACAAATATTTTAAATATAGACTAACCACATGGATTATTTATTTGATTAATGCTAAGTTAGTAATGATAACAGAAGTAAATCTGGGCTACTTTTCCACTTCTGTGTAGTGGCTCAATTTTACATTCCACTCGAGTGGGGGAGTAAAGTTGAAGTGGTCACTTCCTCCTCTGAACTGTTCTTTCCTAACGCTTAACAAAATCTCAAGAACAATTTGCACAGATTTTTTTTTTTCATACAAAAATGTATAGAATTTGAGCAGGCCCTGCTTAAATCATGAGCATAACTCAAGAAAACTTGTATTTTGAGGTGAAGGCCATCTTAAGACTGCCATTAAGAAATTTCTTTAGAGGGGTGAGAGGAAATCTGCAATAAAATATAGTGGCATGGATGCGTTGATATAAAAAAG